TAATAAACTATGTACATCATCTGCCTTCTCGTCAGCTAAATTCATATTACCCTCAAAGGAAATATCATATTCATTATATTCATTTCGATTAGAAGAAATTACTTCTCTTCCTTGCACTATTCCGCGATATTTTTATAATTTATAGCCGAATAATTTCTTATCATTTTATCTTAATCACTTTATTATTTTTCTTCTTGTTGCATTATTCTGCGATATTTATTAATTTGTTCTCGATAATCATAATATGACCTAAATTTGCCCAATATGACATCGATTAAAAGAAATCACTTTTCTTCCTTGCACTATTCCATGATACTCTTATAACCGTTAATAATTTCTTATCACTTTATCATTTCTTTTTCTTGTTGCATTATTCCGCGATACTCTTAATGCGCGTGATTTTGGTTGCGTGTGACTTGGCGCGAGACACTACCGTTAACCTTTTTTACTGTTCATTTACTTGTTAAATTCATTTACTTGTCAAATCTCAGAGCACCGTTAGCGCAATCTTCTGTCGAACGCGTCAACCGTACAACATGACTAATACATTTGCATATTGCATATGTTGTGTACGTGTATATGCGTGTAGCATGATACCACTATATTTCTTTGCATGTGTTGTATACATGTATACACGTATAGGGAAATAACGACGGAGACGTATCTTAATAAAAATTTTATACATTTCGACTTTGCATCATATTACCTCCATTCATGATACATGTAGAAAAAAAATAAAGACACTTTCATTATATAATTCAAACCCAAGCTATCGATTAAGCCTATTAAAAATACGATCGGTTCAGCCGTTATTGAGGTTCGATTATCTAAGGTACTCGCAATTGGCCGACTCGCGTATAGATACCCGGAGTCATGGTCGTACATACAGGTCTTGAAACTCCAGTGGTGGGGGAAGGTCGCAAAATGAAGCAGTTTTTAGTTCTCTAATGGCCGCTAGAGTCGTTGCGTTAGGTTTAACCACGGTGGCGAGGGACGCCGGAGGCCGGGGGGATATCTCTCTGTCTCCATCTTTTCCTCTTTTATTTTATTTTTTCCGAGAGGAATATTTCGCAAATGACGCTTCTATATGCCGAATTAGATGAAAAAATGGAGATTTGTGTGAATGCGACCACCGCGTGATTTCATTTGCACCAATTGCGACTCCGAGGATCCGCAGCTAGACTTGAATCTCACGGCTTCTTCGCACACTGGACAAGATTTATATTTTTTAAGGACTTATTTGCACAAGTAACCTGTAAACATACTATAATAAATTTCGAGCATAAAATAAATAAATTCCCTGCCCCTAAAAGAAAAAAAAATAAGAATAAAATAATACAATCAAGGATAGGGGAAAGGACATAATCATGTTCGGAATGAAGATGATTGATGATTAAAAATCGAAACCTGTAACATAGTAGATAATACAATCAAGGATAGGGGAAAGGGCATAATCATGTTCAGAATGAAGATCGATGATATCATCCGCCTCCCAATCATCATGTTGCAATATTGCATCTAGTTTATGCCGAATTTCTCGCAGATATTCCGCACTTTTACCCTCGCGTTTGTTGCTATACATACTTTTAATTTCACTGATAGAGATCAATGTCGCCGGCTTCGTATCTGATGAAACTGTGCAATTGCCATATTTCGGTGACTTGATCACACTATATACCAATAGCAATTTATATAATTGTAGAAACGTAGGACAATTTGGATGATCGTTGCATCCCGCGCATTGACGTATTGTGCCGAAGAATTTCTAAAACAGGCCAGTAATTCTAACAACACACACATGTTCAAAAGACATCCAGAGGATATAAAATATCCTCTAGATGTCTTTTGAGCGTGTGTGTTATTAAAGAAATAGTTCATTGTAAAACAGGTAAGTACTTGTTAAATATTTTTGCAATACAATAACAGCTATATCATATCTATATCTTAATGTTATATAAGAACAATAAAAGGGAATGTTACAAATAATATACATAAATATTACCGGTAAATTACTGGTTAATTGTAATTTCTTAATATGTAATATAACATACATGTATGTATGTATGTATGTTTATTGTTCCCCAATGGGGTTTCAATCTTTACATTCACCTTAACCTATTACATTTTGTACCTGCCTCGCTTTATCATCGTCCTACCCATCATTCTCTCTCTCTCTCTCTCTCTCTGCTTTGTTCTCCTATTTGCCTTATCTCTAACTTACCTACTGCTTACGTCTCTCTTACACTGAACCTTATCTCTACTGGGCCCCCGCTTCCGCTGTTCTTTCTTATAATTTTTCTGCCCATCTTTCCTCTTTCATTCTTCTTTCAGCCTCCACCCTCTCTCTCTTTCTCTCTCTCTCCTCCTCCTCTCTTTCTCTCTCTCATACTCCTCCTTACCCCTGTTCTCCTTCCCTTCCATCCCCATTCACTCTCTCCCCCCTTGGGGTTACAAAGTTTTTTACAACAACACCTCCTTCTTACACTTCCTTTTACATTCTTTACAATCTCACAGTTCAACTTACATTTCTCTCTTAACCTATCTTCTCCTTAACCTATCTCTCTTCACTCTCACACGCCACTTCTTTCCTTCCGCTTCTTCTACTCTCTCCTCCAGCCCCCTTATTTTTGCCTTCCTTCCTAGTACTTCCTCCATCATTCCCTCGACTTCCTTCCTCCCTCGACTTCCTTCCTCTCTCTCTCTTTTCTCTTCATAGTTTTAATTCATTCCTTATTCCCCTTACTTCCTTCACCAGCTCCTTCATCCACTTCTTCCTGTTCCCGTCTTCTTCTTCCTTCCGACTCTCCTCTCCTTTCGTTTCCTTCTCCTCTTCTCACCTTTTCACATTTTTACATCTTCCGCCTCTTTGCACTTTAACCTATTGATCTCTACTGTCCGCTTCCTCTCCCTAACCTAGCTTTCGTCGTACTATTCTTTAATTCGCCTGGCCTTTCTTTCTCCGTTCCTCTCTTCCCCCTTTGACTCCCGTTTCCGTGTTCAACCGCCATGTGCTTGTTCCACTTCCTTTCATCTGCGCCATCTCAAGCTCCAACCTTTGCATCCTTCCTCTATCCCACTCCTTTACTCCACATATACTTTCTTTCATCTGCGCCATCTCATAACATGCGTCTTCCCTCTCAGCTCTTTGTCCTTGTCCCGTTACACTGCTCTGCCTTATCCGCTTCTACTCTCCTCCTTACCGGCCGTCTTTCCGTCGCTTCCCTCGTGACTCTCCTCTTCTCTCTCTTTCCATCTTTCTTCTCTTTCCTCCATCTTCCTAACCTCCAAACCGCTCCAACCTTTGCATCCTTCCTCTATCCCACTCCTTTACTCCACATATACTTTCTTTCATCTGCGCCATCTCATAACATGCGTCTTCCCTCTCCGCTCTTTGTCCTTGTCCCGTTACACTGCTCTGCCTTATCCGCTTCTACTCTCCTCCTTACCGGCCGTCTTTCCGTCGCTTCCCACGTGACTCTCCTCTTCTCTCTCTTTCCTCCATCTTCCTAACCTCCAAACTGCTCCAACCTTTGCATCCTTCCTCTATCCCGATTCTTTACTCCACATATCTCCCTTCATTCACCTTAATGCACCTCCTCCTGCTCCTCACTTTTGTCTCTTCTGATCTTTCTCACTTCTCCCTGTCTCATCTCCTCCTTCTCTTCCCCACAAGCACATTTTCTTCCTGTTCACATTTTCCCACCGGAAACGGAAGTCTAATATAACATACGTTATACCGTTAATAAATTGAAGAAATAATTTATATGTATCTAATTTATAAAACTTCTGATTTAATTTTTTAAAAATTCCGATTACTATTTCCATATACTATAGATTTTCAATACCGGCACTGGATATCGGAATGCAGCCTTTATCAGAAATTAATCTATCAAAAAAAGATATATTTTGTATCTTATGTTAATATCCATCTTTTGTAGGCTTTATATACATTTCATGGTAAAAATTGAATATGAGTTAGTTAAGTATGATTTCGCCGTATAACGGCAAGCGAAGGAACACACATATAACAATATTATATTGCAATGATATTCTGTTATATTATAACAAACAGTGTTTACTGAGTATAAATTACCTCTAAGTTATCCTGATTGAGTTTTTCAGTCAGCAGGTATTTCAAATCAAATTTGTCTATCAAATAACGACAAAGATCCATCGTTAATTGAAGAGATATTCTTAGTCCTCGTGATGTTTCGACAGTAAGAAATTCTTCTGCTGTGATATTTCGTTCTACCACTGCGGATTGCCATTTATTCAACCACCGCAATAAATCTTCTAGAATCTATCAAGAAATAAGCAATAATAAAAAAAACTATACGTAATCCTCCCACTATTTTATTTTTAATTGTGCAGTCCGCGTTATTTTTGTACCTTAAGGAGGTATTCTGGTCTAGAAGCATGAATTTTAGGTAATTTTTGAAGTGCCGTAAAAAAAAGGCAATCAATATTTTTACTATTTATTTTTTTATAAGATATTTATTAATATTTCAAGAACACAGAAAAAAAAGTGAAAAAATTAAAAACTCAAAAAGTTAGCGGCTGATGAAGTAGGGGGTCTCAAAAAAATAGCGCGCAACCATACCCACGATTCCAACCCTCCTAGCAATCTGAAAAAAAAGGATTATTAATTTAGAGTAATGCCGCTATCGTTGTAACTATAAAAAAGTTGAAAAAAAATTTTTTTCACAAAATGGCAACTGCCTGAAAAAAAAATTAATTTTTGTACCACTTTTTTTGAGTTTTCCGAATTTTTTAAAAATAGTAAACATTGAAATTTGGGGATGAGGATAGTTCGTGCGATAGAGAAGTCTATAAAGAAGACTAACACCAAATTTCAAGTAAATCGGTTCAGTAGAACTTGAGAAATCGTGGTCAAACTCCTGTAATGTACCTTCAGATGCAGCTTTTTGCCACTTACACCAACTCTCCGCACCAGGTGGGCAATACATATGTTGCGGATTTTTATTTGTGGAACTATTATGTTAGTAAGTAGCCCAAATTGCGTTTTTCATGTCCTCAACAGAATCAGGGTGCCAGCGAATCGCTAAACCATAATATAAAGACAATTTATTTATCACTTTATCAGTTAATTTGCCTTCACCTTTTCCACCAATCCCTTTATTATCTTTTTTTGCTTTCCGTAGCCTTGCACCCATTCTTTTCTGGACATGTCCTACGCACTCTTTTTTTTCGACAACTGGGTCACCATCGTAAGGATCCATATCGAGTATACCCTTGAATGTTTTAGTGTCACCATCCCCAATATATTTCACATATTTCACTCCGTGTTTTTGAACCGATCTACAGAACATTTCGATAATAGCATCAACTTCCATTTTGCCTGCACTTCCTTTATGATTTATAGTACACAATTCTTCATGGTCTTCATACCAATCGTTATACGCAGAAATATCGGATTTTTTTTTATTTTTCCAAACATTACAGCCTTGACAGAAACTAGATTTGACAATTGTATCAACAACCTTCTTGCAATTTTTAGCTACAAGTGTAGTAACTCCAAATAGAGAATTGAAACCTCTTTTTTTCCATGTCCCATCGCCAGAAACAGTAAAATCTGTTGGATTAGTATTAGAATTAGAAGCTGAAATTAAATCTTTTTCTTCATTTACAGCTTTGGAAATAATGAGGTTATAAACTGCAGATGCGGCCGTATGTACGTTTTTGAGACAAGCGTAGTAAGTACAGATTGATATTCCTTGACAAATATCCATCATACTGCAGAAGATATTTATTCCTTCCCTTCCAACTCCCAAAAGCCGCATAGCAAATATCATTCTTCAATTTACTTCAAAGGATTTGTCGACGAATGGACATGATTGTATATATCGTATACTATTGCAACTGCATTGTAATGCAATTTTAAAACCTAGTCCGCGATGAGACGTTCGTGAAAATTTAATCTCTTTCTTGCATGTAGTACACAAAACTAAGGAAGAAATCGCTGTAAAAACCGTGAAAAACTCCAAAATACAGTAGCCGTAATTATTTTCAATAATTACTTCTTCATCACTTGATTTGCTCAATTTTTCTGCTGATGCACTCGTAAAACTGGTGTCTTCCTCTACCGTGAATCTATTGCCGTGAAATCGCCTTTTTTTCGATCCGGACGCGTAATCCTTTGCGTTGAAGATTTTCGATCCATTTTTCTTTAAAAAATTAAAATTATAACTCAAAATATTTTTATTTTACTCAGAGCACATGCGTTCACTTGGTTTGAAGGTTAGGATTCAACTGTTAGCAACTGGATGTAAGTGAACACTAAATATAAAAGATAATTTCAAAATACATAAAGGTTACCTTCGGTTATTGTATTTCAATATATATATATATAAAGGCACAAAAGGTTTTACGAGGAAACACGATCGCAGGTAGACGGAGAATCCCTAACGTCTTTTGTCTGATTCGTTCCGGCCGAGCCGGTTTGGATGCCGCGTCACTAAAACAGCTAAATCTCCGAAAATAATTTGAATTTTGAAAAATCCTTTTAAAGACATATTCTTAAAGGGTTAAGCTTTGAAAATATGAAAAAAAAATCGATTTTTTCAAATTTCTAGACCAGAATACCCCCTTAAAGTCATTAGAACGCGGCGTGAGTCCTTGATTTGGTGATTTTCGGTTCATTGCGTCAAACATATCGTTGAAGCGTTTACAAAAGGAAATTGTTTCTTCGCACCCGCTGAGTCCTTGGCATCCGTGTGATAAATAAAATGCGAGCCCGTCAGCAACGGAGTTACTAAAGATCTGTAACAACAAGAAAATAAGAAATTTAAGAAATTTTTGACAATAAGAAATAAAAAATTAGATCTGTAACATCAAGAAAATAAGAAATTCAAGAAATTTTTGACAATAAGAAATTTTTGACTTTTGAATTTATAAACAAACATACCTGAGTTGCCAGTCTGACTCGCATTTTCGATGTGTTGTCCAGCACAATATGTCTGTTTGTTATTTTTGGACAAACTCTTGCGTTTCCTGGATGGTCCTTGTCAAGATTGTACAACGTAACGAAATACTTCCAGCAAATGTAGTTATGCGTAGATTTCAACTAGGATAATGCCAATATTTATTCTACGTATTATATGAGCCTCAAAACGCCATTCATTATTCTAGGACTATAAATTTTCATTTTATAACTCACCCGCAGTTTCTCCTTGTTGTACAGCCGGACATTCTTGATGACGTGGCAGATATTGGAAAAGACGAATATTTTCCGTTCGTTATCCAAGGGGTAAGTGACAATTTTTTTTTACAACGAATTTCTTTTTCAATTTCAAATTTTCCTGATGAGCATATTGCCTCATTCTTAATCTAAGATAATAACTATTGCATATGATAAGATTTTTGATGCGTGTTTTTTACAAGGAAATGTAAAAGTGTACGTATCAAGTACTTCATCTAAAGTTACATCAAAGACGTCAACGCGAGAGGAATATTTCGCAAATGACGCTTCTTCCAATCGGCTGTGTATATACATCAGCAAGCGGCTGGAACATTAATACAAGACCGTGTGTTGCTTGCTCGTTTATGTCTGTGGATTGTTGCCCGTCATCGCCTAAGTCCGTTAAGCCCAGGTAAGTTAAATTTTTCGAAACTGCTACAGACTCCCTGAGGTTTATTTCATCTAGCAGCAGGACACCGTGACGCTGCAGTGGAGTTTTCGAGGCAAAATGTTTCTCGAGGAGTTTCGCAAAATGTTCATCGAAGCCGCACTTTGCGTTAATTAAAGAGAAATAACTGCGTATTGTCCTCGTGCACGGAAGTGGCAGGATATTGTTTTTACGCAGAAATTTGTAATATCCTACCGATCGGATGTTCATAAGCATGCATAACATGACCCACTCCTCGGTGTAACGTCGACCTCTGGTGTCCTTTTTGCTTGCCGCTGCGATGATTTCTTTAAGCGCCAATTTTTGAGACTCTGGGACGTTTAATTCAGCACATTTTTTATTCAAAAATGCATCTTGCATGCTTGCTATTTGTGCTTTTTGTGTTTTCATACACGGCATGAGATGTTTTACGCGATACTTCGCTTGAAGTTTCTGACGTCTTTCACGTCTAATTTTTATCCGCATAGCTGATAATTTGCATCGAACAGGATTTAAAATATCACCAATCCGCTTCATCATAGGATGATTCTTTAGCCGTGTCGCCCGTTGCAGTATACATTTTCTTTCTTTTATCGAGAGCAGGGAACAGCCTTTACTTCTCCATTTATCGACGTAATCTTGATATGCTTCACCGGCTGGTATAAAATGGATATTAACATCACTTAGGCCGCTGCAGACTTTCATCTCCTGGAATTTTTCCAGTACACCCGAAAGCATTTCTTTTTTAAGAATTGTTCGAATTTGTGTTGCGAATCAACGTGACGTCCATAAACAAAATATTTTAATATCAGATGTTTTACGCGATACTTCGCTTGAAGTTTCTGACGTCTTTCACGTCTAATTTTTATCCGCATAGCTGATAATTTGCATCGAACGGGATTTAAAATATCACCAATCCGCTTCATCGTAGAATGATTCTTTAGCCGTGTCGCCCGTTGCAGTATACATTTTCTCAATTTCATGCAGGAATCGCATCTTTTTTTTATCGAGAGCAGGGAACAGCCTTTACTTCTCCATTTATCGATGTAATCTTGATATGCTTCACCGGCTGGTATAAAATGGATATTAACATCACCTAGGCCGCTGCAGACTTTTATCTCCTGGAATTTTTCCAGTACACCCGAAAGCCTTTCTTTCTTTTTTAAGAATTGTTCGAATTTGTGTTGCGAATCAACGTGACGTCCATAAACAAAATATTTTAATATCCCATCAACATCAATTGTAACACATTTTTGTGTTATTGGACAATGCTCGCCGTTATTAATCTTCATCGATCGTGTATGAAAACAGGGTATGTTGTATAACTTTAGTACGCATTTTGAAACAACTCCATGATTCCGGAACATAGGCAGAAAAGTCATCATTGGTGCTCGCATTTCTTTCCGGTATTTCTGATATAATAAAGTCGAGCAATATTTATTTATTTATATTATATTATTTATATAATATAAATAAATATTAATAATAATATTAATAATAATATTAATATTAATATTAATAATAATAATAATAATAATCATTGTGGGAAGACGGGAGAACAGCTTTGGCAGATGATTTTATCTTCTGCAAACCTCCAAAATAGCGACTGTTTCTAGTCGAGGAGCTCTATGGTATGCTCTACACTCGTTAATCGAACAATCAATGATGCATATTTTGCAAGAATATACTGAAAAAGCCTTTTAAATTATTATTATTTTATTTATTTTTTTTCTATTTCATACTATTCGTTCTATTGCATGAAGTATCTTATTTTCAATATTTTCATTACACTAAAAATAAAATTAGTATAATAATTTATTCTTGTTTTAGGTCATCTTGAAAAATTCACTCCATTTTTAACAGTAAATATTAATAGAAAACAGTTTCATTAATTTTATTTATTTGACTGAATATCAATGATTCAGTTTGCCGTATTTTTATTTATGATTTTGCAGTTTTTATTTATAGCATTCTGTTTTTCTTTAGGTATTGTGACTTGAACGGCATACATTTTTTTTTTTGGAACATTTGGCAAGACTACACATAGACTATTGTTACACGTCACCCTTAGGGCGCGTTCCACTTAACGATTGCAATGCTCGTGAGCATCATCTGTCTTTGTTTAACTTTCGTGAACAACAAGGATGAAATGATACCGTGAGCGTTGCGATCGTTAAGTGGAACGCGCCTTTAATCACACTAGCGGCTCGGGACCGCGATTGCGTCTGTGATCGCGATTTGCTACGCTCCAATCATACTTGCAATTGGTGCTTTCTGATTGGCTGAGGCAGAATCGCAATCGCAGATATAAGCGGGGAGCACACACTTTTGCATAAGCGCATAATCATAAGCATAAGGAAATTGATTTGTCCATTTCTTTATGCATAACGCTATTGACCAATCAATTTCCTTATGCTTATGATTATAATATGATTATGCGCTTATGCAAAAGTGTGTGCTCCCCGCTATAATCTCAGTCGCGACTGTGAGCCGCTAGTTTGATTCGGGCTTTAGGCCGCGTTTGAAAACGCCATCCGTGTGCACACGAGCATCGTTCTATATTTGTTCAACTTTCAGACAACGTTCACACCGGTGGTGTTTTCGCACGTAGCCTAAATGTAGTCATATAGTTACTCACGTTCGCTGATTTCAATAGATGAGGGCACTTTGAAAGGCTCCTGAGGAACCAACAAATCCGCTACCGGAGGTTCACAACTCGATATTTCCATGGGCGAAAACGACATGCTGATATCTGTGCCAATGTCTGGAACTGGTAAAGGAACATGTACGGTATCTGTAATATAAATAAATAAAAGAAATGTACGTATGTTTCAATTATTTACATTTTATCATTTTTTTATCAACAATGTAATTAATACTTTTTGTTTCAGAAAACTCACCGACCAAGGTACTGATTATTTGAATTGATGGTTTTATCATATTAGAGGATTCGACAGAGACATTGCATATTCGCTTCGCATATTCATGCAGCGGCTCACAATTTCCTGTCGGAACGTCACCGAATTTCGTGGACACGGCTTGCTTTTTAAATTGCGGACACTTGTATGTGACCTTTAATAAAAAAATACATGATTTGAGTAAGAACTCTTTTGAAACCGATATGAAATTTTTTCATTTTACTCACCCGCGCAATTACTTGATCATTTGCGTCAAGCTTAATCCACTCATGGGAAATATCTTTTTCCTGAAAATGTTTGTCACATATAACGTCCGTCTGGCGCAACTTGACTATACCTGGGATAGCCTTTTCCCATTTCTTCCATATAACCGGGTCTTTCGGTACGCCAAATAATGATCGCTTTATTTGTTCCGTTCTGCTGCCGGTTTTACAATACGGTACTGCGCACCACCTCGACATTTTTCAAAAATAATCTCTTACGAAAATCACACGCGTGTTTAAAACGGCTCTCGGGGTTTCCAAGGTTTTTTTTTTTTTAATTTGACATTTCAAGTAGGTTACGTTTATCTGGGAAAAGTTATCACAGCGACGAATAGTGGCTGTGTTAGGAACTAAATATTTCCTCAATAAGCGACCATACCCCCACCACTGAAATTGCGGCCAGTTTCAAGATCTGTATGTAAGACCGTGCCCGGAGTGCCTCGCGGCTTCGCGTGAAGTTGGCGCGAGACACTACCATGTCCCTTGATAAGCAAATTTAATTAATCAATAAATGCAAAAAAATATTTGATCTCTTCTGGTTATATCATTTATTAGAATACATTTTAGAAGGAATTATATACTGTTTATAAGTATGCGTTTATTCAATAGAATGAACTTGTTTCATATTTATATTAAATATTTGATGCTTTGTAATAAAAAGAATTTCCTTCCTATTGCTTTCTACATTTTGATATTTATTCACTTACACAATTTATATTATTATTATTGATATACAGTTTAACTTCCGTATTAAAATTATATTTATAAAATATCTATACAGTTTAACTTCTAGATTAAAATTATATCTATAAAAAAATGTATATCTTGTTAAAATTATATCATGTTTTAAAACCTGTTAAATGATTGACAATAAGAGATGAGTATTAAGATACATTATGATTATGTGCACTCAAATTCAATATGGTATATACAAGCTTTGTAAAAATATATACTATATAATTCCTTCTAAAAAAAATTTCCTTTCTATTGAATAAATCTTTAAAAAAATTATATCCATGTATATACTGTATAATGTAGTAATTTAAATTTAAAAAAAAATATATAAATTTTTACGAAAAGCAGTGATATCCTACTAAAAAAACTTCACAAAGGTTAAAAAACACGAAAAATATAATACATAAAAAATATTCCAACTTGTACGCAACAAAAAGTTTAAATAATATTTACTTCTAAAAAATAGCTTATAAAAAAAATTTTCCCCTAAAAAATAAAAAATAAAAAATAAATATGAAATCAATATTTAACACGATTACCGTAGGGCATAAATGTATATATATATATATATATATATAGATACATGCATGGCTTGGTTATTCACCCAGCTCTACCTGTCCCGCCGCCGCCATCTTGCTTGACGCATGCGCGTCCGCTCTCGGCATGCGTTCTCGCTCACCGGCACGCGCTATCTCGCTCAGCATGCGCTCTCGCTCACCGGCACGCTCTATCTTCCTCGCGGGGTCCCCACGCGGTACCGACTCCCACCGCCGGACCGACGGCGCACAGTGGGGGACGCCGGCTGGGTGTATAAGCCCGGCCGGCCGAGACATCGAGACCAGATCCTATCCCGACCAGCTCCTGATATCGATCTAACCACTACCTATTACCTCTTTGGGCCGAGGTTGCACTCAGCCCCGCCGGGTTGAACCGGCTCTCTATACCTCGGGCCAAGGTTGTACTTGGCCTCGTCGGGTTGAACCGACTCCTGTCTCGACCGCTCCACGGGCTGAGGTTGCACTCAGCTCCGCCGGGTTGCACCGGCTCCTACCTACCTCGGGCCAAGGTTGTACTTGGCCCCGTCGGGTTGAACCGACTCCTGTCTCGACCGCTCCACGGGCTGAGGTTGCACTCAGCTCCGCCGGGTTGCACCGGCTCCTACCTACCTCGGGCCAAGGTTGTACTTGGCCCCGTCGGGTTGAACCGACTTCCGTTGCTCAGGCAGTGCTCGACGTGACACTCGAGCCTGCCGGCAACACTTAGCCGCCTAACCTGACCGTAGAGTATAAGTGCATGTACCAACCGCGCTGTAAATATAGTCGCATGAGAGAGATAAGTCTAGTCTTAAGACCTGCTAGTAATAAGACCTGCCTAGTACTAAGTCCGCTAAGGCCTGTAAGGCCTGTTCGTAATAAGTCCTCTAGTTCTAACCGTGCCGTAAGACGCATGTAAATAAAACCGGGAACGATTGCACGCCGCACCTGTCTTGCGTTTCTCGCCGCTTTCGAGCCGATCCGAGCGTCGAGCGAGGTGACCGCGTTACAAGATTATCAGAAATCATTATCAATACATTAATAAAAATGTGTGACTTATAATGCAACCCGGGTACGTCAAGTTTTTGTATGTCACTGTAATCTTAATCCTTTTCGTTCCGGGTACTTTGGTAAAGCTTATGATAATAATTTTATATTTTTTTTGGTTATAGATTTGGATGACTCGAATTAAAAAGAAAAAATATTAATATTTTTATCATAAAAATTTTGTATTTAAATTTTTATATTTTATATGAAATATATAGTATGAAATCAACATATAATAAAAAGTATTTTGGTAATTATTTACATTAACGGACGCCTCGCCGATGACCTTGATCTTCACATATGTTGTTAAGGACACAACCATGAGTAACTTTTTCTTATAACTTAATCGGCGGTCATTGTTTATTAAAAAGTTATAAACAAAAAAAGTTTGAGAGATTTGCCACTTTGTGTCAGTGCTAAAGGAAGTAATTGGTATATTGGTTATATGCAGTATAGGGGAGGCAGTTTCAATGATCTTGACCTTGACATATGTTGTCAAAGTTATCACTCTGAGTAAGGTACAAAAGGTTTTAATCGACGCTCATTGTTTATTAAAAAATTGTTCTACAAACAAAAGTTATGAAGCATTAGTATAAGCATAACCAGAAGCATAAATTTTAGTATTAAATCAGAAATAGGCTCGGGTTAGGTTATATCTTCCGGAAGTGTAGCCCCCCGTAGGGGGGGGGGGTCGGAACCCACTGCGTTCACGTATGTACTGTGCAAGATGAAGCGAAGTTCACCCTACACCTAACCTTGATTCTTTAAGATTGTAATGCATATATTTTAGATTGGCGGCCAACCTTGAGACACACTATAAAACACACAATAAAAAAACCTCCCCCGCCCACACGAGCACTGTGTCTACACACTCATATCAGCAAATTACTTCCTTTTGCACTGATACAAAATGGCAAATTTTTCAAACATTTTTTTGTTTATTACTTTCTAATAAACAATGACCGCTGATTAAGTTATAAGGAAAAGTTACTCAGGGTCATGTCCTTGACAACATATTCAAGGTCAAGGTCATCGGCGAGGTGTCCGTTAATGTAAATAATTACCATTTTTCTTTTAGATAGGATTCACATATTTTCCGTCGCATTATGAAATAATCTTTTTGTTAAGCAATATAACTATAATATATTTTAATTGTACGTAACTAGTAATTTTTCATTGTACAAGACTTCGTATTTCTATGCAAAATTAATATAAATAAAGCTGTTTCTTTATCTTAAATCGGTTATGCGAAAATATTTTCTTTCTTCCTATCCCTTACTTCCGTCAACTCAGCGATATTATAGCGTCCTAAACCTGCGCAATCATCGACCGTACACGCGTATTTTTTAAGACCCCTTCTTTTATCTCCAGCGATGACATCATATCATCCGTCCTAAACCTCTGCAGCATACAGCCGCAGGTACAGGTGTACCATTCAAAACCTTTTGTATTGTCACCAGCGATGACGTCACTAGCTATCTGCGTAGCGCGCCTCGTCCGTATTCATCCCCGTCATATCAGTTGGTTTATTCTAACGGTATATTATCCGATTTTTCTCTTTTCAATGGGAAGGATGGAAGGGGGTGGGCGGCATATACCGTACATCTCACGATTTTCAAAAAGGCGGGTGGAGGGGGAGTATCAAAGCGCAGGGACCCCTATGCTGGAGGGCCACTCTCCACAAATACTAGATGTAACCTTTATTCTAATAAAATTTCAGTTAACCCAGCATACTCTGTTTGGAAATGTGGAGGACCAAGGTTTGAGCTCGAGTATTTCCACTCGCCCGGAAAAAATAAAAAAATAAAAAATAAAAAATTGCATCGTAGATGTCCACGCGTCGATCTCTTCCTCCTCCAATCATACCTACTTTTTTTCCCACAGACAGACAGCAGTGGTGGGGGTAACCAGATACACACTTCAAGAGGTCTGGCTCCAGTAGGGTGAGGGGGTGGGGGTTTGTTTTGACGCACTACAGTGGTCCCTGGGCGTCCGCAGAATTTTTTCTAGGGGGGGGGGGCATATCACTTTCAGATTAATTTTAAAAAATGTATACTTAAATATTTTTACATCTTTTAGTATTAAAACTTTCTCACCGCGTCAAGGTAGATGTAAATCAAAAAAGATTTTTGTTTTTTTGTGTTTTTAAAAATTTTTTTTGTATTTAAGAAAGTTTTTTGTATGTTTTTAAATAATTTTAATTTTTTAATTAAAAATTTTTTTTTCCGTTTTTCAGCGGAGGGGGGCACGTGGCCGTTTTGCCCCCCCCTCCTCCCTGCGGACGCCTGTGGTCCCACGTGTATTCGGGAAGAGTATAGAAATATGCGGGGTCGAGCCCATAACTTTCGATACATTTGTCGCGGAAATTTTCAAAAATATCTGCTAATAACAAGACATCAATTTTGAGATACAAGTCGCTATATTCGCCTAGCGTTCAAAGGGAGA